TTTTTTTTTTTTTTTGTGAGAACTACTGTGCTATAAGGGATGTTTTAAATTGCTTTGTACTTATCTTTTTGTTTTACGAGCATCCATTTCTCATTTAAAAACTTGTCGAATGTTTAATTAATTAATGTATTCTCTGGTGGTGCGTTTATTTTAGCAGTGTTCTTTGATGTAAGTTAAGATAAGTCAATGGCTATAATTTCAGACCACAACAAGGCCAGATGTTGTAGAATGGGCTGACGTCACTTCAAGAGATCCTCAGTTACTGGTAACGCTAAAGGCGTACCGGAATACAGTACCAGTTCCCAGACATTGGAACGCTAAAAGGAAGTATTTAGCTGGAAAGAGAGGTTTTGAACGACCACCTTTTGAGCTCCCTGATTTTATAAAACGAACTGGTATAATGGAAATGCGTGAAACTATGTGGGAGAAGGTAATTTTTATTCTAAACGATTTTGAAAGGAACTTAAAGTGTGGGAAATAGTATGAATGTGGTTATTAAGCGAAAACTCTAAGAAGACGAGTTGTATTTCGTTTTGAGTTATTGATGGGCTCAAAACATTTCTTGAATTCTCTTTTGTTGGAAGAACGTCATATAAATTTTCAGGAAGACGCACAGTCTCTGAAATCGAAAATGCGGGAAAGAGCTAGGCCGAAACTAGGCAGGATTGACATCGATTATCAAAAGTTGCATGATGCCTTTTTCAAGTGGCAGACAAAACCACCGATGACACAGATGGGTGAATTATATTATGAGGGAAAAGAACTTGAAACAATTATGAGGGAAAAAAAGTGCGGTGAGCTGTCAGACGAATTGAGAATTGCCCTTGGGATGCCAGTTGGACCTGTACGCATATTTGCTTTTTTTCTTTTCTTTTTTTTGGTTTTTACTTTTGTGAAAATAATCCGTAACCCTTTCAATTCTTCGTTGGAAGATGCTTCAGTTTTGGGGATAGGCGTATTTTATTAAAAACAAAATTGCTTTTTAGAACGCTCATAAGTTTCCTCCACCGTGGCTGATTGCCATGCAGCGGTACGGCCCGCCACCGTCGTATCCAAATTTGAAGATACCTGGATTGAATTGTCCAATTCCAGAAGGTTGCTCCTTTGGGTATCACGCTGGAGGATGGGGAAAACCGCCCGTAGATCAATTTAATAAACCCTTATATGGTGATGTATTTGGTGTTGAGGTCTGTTACACTAAGATTTTAACATTGAATTTAGTGACTTTGTTAAGGAGTGAAACAACTTTTACAGACATCTGTATTACCTGAATTAGATGATGAGTCGAGAATTGAGAGAAGGCACTGGGGTGAAATAGGAAGTGACGAAAGCTCCAGCGAAGAAAGTGAGGAAGAAGAGGAAGAAGAAGAAGGCCCTGCAGAAACTGGTTTTGTTACACCAGGAACAACTGAAGGGTTGGTGTTGGTTTTCTTCATTTTTCCTTTTTTCTTCTGCGTTGTTAGACAAAGCCCTGTTGGAATTGGTTTCTTTTGTACATTGTCTATTTAGTTGTCGTCTTGATTATCTTTTTGAATTTTTTAGTTTTGTTACTCCATCTGGGATGACTTCTGGTGTTCCTACTGGAGTCGAGACTCCGGATACAATTGAATTGCGTAAAGGGAAACGCATTGAAGAGAGGTTTGTTCTGATTTTGCTAGTCCACACACCATTATTCTTGATGAAGCAACTTCATTTAGTCTTGCTGGTGGTGACACACCTGCTCCTGCACTGTACACAGTGTTGCCGGAGAAGAAAGTCGAGCGTATCGCGGGTCAAATGATGGCTAGTTCTCATGTCTACGACCTCACGGTATCTTTTCCAACTAGTTCTCAGTTAAAACTCAGTAGTCATTTCACCTCAAATTAAACCGTATTTAAATTAATTTTGACTGTTCATAGAAAGCCACTGTTCCTGTACTTTATTTAGAAAAAGGCTGCTGTACCTGCACCAGCGGCACAGGGTGGTGATGCAGGAGTCGAGGTTTCTCTGAATCCAGATGATCTGGATTTGGCTGACCAAAAAGGGTTAGAGAAGAAATATGAAGAACAGCTGAGGAAACAGACGAAAAGTCGACAAGAAGACGAAGATTTTTCCGACATGGTTGCAGAACATTCAGCAAAACAGAATGTAAGCCATTTAATCTTACTTCTTAGGACAAATAAGACAAACTTCTTTCGGGGTTTTGATTAAGCAGGTTGTCATGAACAATCGGGTGAAGAGCAGGGATTGCATCCTTAAATTCTGCTTTTTGTACTGGTAAAAGGTACCTGACACTTCCCGCGAATGAATTTTCGAATATCGGTCTGTCTTTTTTTTTTTTCAGAGAAAAAGGAAGGCTCAAGAACAAAAGAAAACTACTCAACAGCAAAAGAAATATAAGGACTTTAAATTTTAATGCACTTATCCACACGGTGCTCCTGAAGTATATTTTTTTGTCGTCGCAATGTTGCTGGAGTTTTTCTCTCGTGTATAAAACTTTTTTACCATCTTCTTGTGGACCAATTGTCTCCCATCCTTTAGAGGTTACTGGTGCTAAATGTATGCACCAGATGAATTACACAGACCATTCAACCTAACCTACAATGGGGTTTAAAGGAGTGTTGTAGGCAGGGCGATAAGGTGTACTCCGGTAAGTAAGTTCAGAAAGTTGGTCAGGACGAATAATCGTTATGTGGAGTTGTAATGTGCTGTGCAGATACGACTATGTGTATATCTTTTTTTCTCATACGAGTGTGTAGGTGCAGAGAACTTGTGCAGTGGAGGCAGGTGAATGAAGGACGTTCACCGTAAGTGCTCTCCTGGTTTTCAGAGAAGATCACTTCCAGTCTCCAAAATTATTACTGGTTGTGAGTCGATAACTGGCACTTGTTCAAACAAGTAGTAAAAACATAACTTGCGGTGGCGTTTTTGAGTGTTCATCTTCGGACAAGTGTCTGCTGGGTCATTTCACATTGATAGCGACTGCTTCTCACTAGTGGGGAGAGTGAGAACTGCAGATCACAGTCTTAGAAGAATATGTATTAAGTTGGCCAACGCTACTTGAAGCTCTTTCTGCATACATCAGTCCAGCTAAGATTGTTCACTCGTAATAGTGTCAAACTCCTTTCAGCAAATTCATGTTTTAGGATTGGTACTAGAAGGCAATGTACTGTGTCATTAACAGAATGTTTTGGCGTTCGTAATTTATCGTCCCCACAAGCAATAGTTAACGATTTAGAATTTTGCTGGCACCTACTTCAGTGCTGCAGAGGTGGGGTTGTAAAAAAGAATTGTTCTCTAGTCAGTTTCATTCTTTTTTAGCAGTTTCTCTCAAAAAAGTTCACTGCGTGTCTTTTTATTAATTATGCCACTCTTTTCTTCGTGTATTATTCGCCATTGGCTATCAGAATTTGTCCTTGTGATGGTACCTTCACATACAAACTCAGGGAATAATTAGAACTATTATGTTATTTATCTGCAAATCTATATTAGCTCCCAGCAGCAGTATTTGCGGGGAGGGAGAGAGAGGACACATTTGCAGCTCACTTGGGCGGGTGTCCTATGCTGTCAGATTTTGGGATTCTGTCCACTGCGTTTAAATCAAAAAGATGCAAGAAATCTTAAATTCAATTCAGAGCTTTGTAATGTTGACGGAATGACGTTAAAAATTGGATGTTTTCTTAGTTAATGGCCGCTTGACACTTCTGCTAGAAAAAGAGGCAATGGACGTCACCGGTGAAAAAAATGAGTTTTGCCTCTCATGAGTTAAGAGCGTAAGTCACAAAGATGTAGCCCATTTAAATAATTTTCTTTACAGCCTAGCTACAAAAAGAACGCTCCTCTCAGACCTGGTGTCCGTTAGATAGATCAGTGGTTGGAAGCCGGTTTCAGTGGCTGAGGGATACAATTAATATGAAAAAAAGTAGGCTTGTATTCAAAGGTGTTTGAAGACTAACGTTTTCTAATTTTGTTCTTTCATAGGTTTGTAAAGGGTCTTAGGTTTTTCAGAGTCTGATTACTCCGATTTCACCGTGGAAGTGTGGCATTTTATTTATTAAAAGCCAGCTCTTCTCGCTGGTATTGGGTCTTATACGGATGTAGATTCGACTCGCTTCAGCGTCTTAGAAAGGGATTTCTTAATGCTGCTGGTTGTTTACCGTGCAGGTGATGGCTGTAGTTACCACCTGCGCTGCATGTTGCGAAGACGGCTTAAGCTTAAACTTAGTCCATTATGTAACTTCTGCCAGTGCATTAAGAGGCTTACAAGAGCCTGTTCTAAAAGCAAAGGTGTCAGAACTCCTATAGACAACTTTGGCGTACCCTGACATCGTTGTTGCAACAATGAAAATCTTCACTTTACGAACCTGCATTACAACATCATTCAAAATTAATTTCTAAAAACCACGAAATTACCACACCAAGATGTACATCACTAGTTCTACTGTTTCAAGTTCAGAAAGTATTTCCAAGTCCTTCGATTTTAAACATTTTTTGAAGATAACTAGAGATCCTGATTCCTCTACACTCGTTTACTCCAATTATCCAGAGAAGTGCCCTCCAAAACAACCAACACTGTAAGTCGGCCATTTAGAACTACAAGTCTGCAAAAGCAGATCCATACCAGTCCTCAGTCCTGTCTAAGTCTGCGTAAATCAGGTTAGCGACTGCGGTGATCACTAGCAACATTGTGACAGCTTCCTAAAAACTCTTTTAATCTGAGCTCCAGACCGACGCTAATACAGTTAAGAGCGTCCACCTCCTCAAAATATTTTTTCGATCGTCATTCTTACTTCGCCCCCTGGCGTTAAGGTTTTTGACGCAGCCTTATTCGTATTTGCTAATTTCACATTTGCCTGCTTAGTTTTTGCTAACTTTCTAACAGTCTAACACTAAAATGTCGCTCTTACCCTTTTGCTGCTTCATAGGATCGACGCCATGTCAACGGGTGGTGTAATGATTAGTGAGTGTACTTCGCTTGCAATCGCGATTCTGGGAATTCGGAAAGGGTTCAAACTCAGTCCTATGCAATCCCTCTCAGTTCTCACATTTCTGGATCATTTTCTAACCTCCTTAAAAACACACTGTATTAATCGTGCGTATAGAGCTCACTAAATGGCACCAAATGAGTTTATTTTTCAACAGTGACTGTCCGCTTTCACGCTCTTATCTACTGCAGCACTTCCAGACTTCCCAGACACAATCGTCCAGAGGCACTCTCTCAATTTTTTGAATGTTAATAATTTTGTTGCAATTGCAAAGGGGGCGTATTTGAGTGTCAAACTTCCATCTAAGCTTCGTAAAAAGAACTTCAAACCAGTGAATGACAAGTATAGCCAATATTTAAGCAAGTCCTTGCACCACACAAGCAATTTCAAAAATTCAAGCTCATCTGAAAGTTAATGGTCAAGTGCAACACGTTCTGACAAAAACATAAGTGCGGAAAAAAAATCTATGTATATTAGGGCAAGCGATTCGCTGGAGAA